TATATAACACAGTGGCATCCAAAAGAAACGTGAAAATATAATCACCCAATCCTAATGTCTAAGCCTTGCACTCCCCATTCATGCTGCATACCAATTTAAAGCTAAATACATTCTGCATCATCTGACACATTATTAATTGATCTATGTTAAGAAACGCCGGATAGTGACTCAAAATTTACCCGTTTGGTTTGGCAAAATTGGGCGAAATCAAGGAAACGTAAAATTATCTTCACGTGTGTATTGACGAGTATCAATATTAGTAGAATGGACATACGTTACATATCCTATGAATGGAAAATTTTGTATTGAAACAAACAAGATTCTATTTTGATATTTTGTCCCAATAATTTCAAACAAAACGGAAAACAGAGTAATCACAAATACCACGCAAAACGTGAACTTAACGTTAAATGTGCCCATCATTAGTTTGCTTAGGAGCCATTACTTTTGTGTAGTGCACGAGCCGTTTGGGCATCGAATCTGTTAAATTTGAGACATAATCACCTGTCATATCATCCCAAATGTTACAGAGAGTTGCAAATAAAGGGTCTGAATTGGTAGCAAAGACGGTTTTCTTCAGCTGCGATTTCATGTTACTTCACTTATCACTTTTCACATACCTGTAGGATTCATGTCAGGGCTATTTACGGGTGACTACGTTGATTTGACCTCATTTTCTAGGAAGAATTATCTAGTGGCATTAGCTCTGTGAGAAATTTCTTTGCTATGCATGGAGAGGTCCACTTGAATGGCATCATGCTACAAATAAGGTTAAGACATGACGTTCCAGCACTTGAGCGATTTAGTCCTCTAAACCCAGGCTATCTGGTGATTCTCATGAGGGCGGTTTTGTTTATTCCACCCCAGACCACCTAAAACCATGGCAGTTTCGTGGTCTCTGTTCCCTACCGTGAGATGACTGTATCCAAAATCTGACTAACACAGTCTATCAAAAAGGTTTCGTGCTCGACACGAAACCATATTAGTTCCTAAACAAAAACAAAGTTAATACTTATGAGCTCAAGTTATGTTAAGTCCAGGTTTTGTGTTGTATTTGCAACTGCTCTGTTCTTCAATATCTGTTTGAAAATTCCATCAGAAGATATGCTGTTTATTGTAGAGACAATAATATTCTCTTTTTATTTGATATTCAATACATGTCCATTCCACCAATGTTAATGCACTTCAAATTTCAATATACACGCGAACACACTTTTGCGTTTCTCTGATTTCACACAATTTTGCCAAGCCTGATTTTTGAGCGACCATACCTCGGCGTCTCTTAGCATAGATGAACTGTTATCAAAGATAGTACAGAGTATCTTTGCTGTTATTGTGTCAGATGATGCAGAATCTAATCTCCTTTAACTTGGTATGCTGCGTGAGTGGGTGTTGCAAGCCTATAACACGACGATTTAGTGATTACAGTTTCAAATTTCTTTTGGTCGCCACTATTTATATATATATATAATATCTGAAGCCTACTTCTTAGGCACTGTTGTTACACACATACACACACAGATATAC